CAACAGTCTGCCATGCCCTGCCGATCTTGGGACTTCATCTGGACTTGAATTAGTGGCCTGCCATGTAGTTTGGTAACACTGGGAGTGTGCCTTTTTACTTGTCAACCTCGGCCTTGTCAGCTTCAGCAGCCAGCAGCTGTCTGAGTGAAGAAAAGCCTCCAGCTTCAGCGGGCTGGGAGCAGGAGGCAGAGCTGAAGCCCAAAGTTGAGGGGCTTTCACCCAGTCCCTAGAGCCTGCCACTCTGAAATTTGACTTAAAGCCTCCAAACTCTAAGACAATAAACTCCCGTTTGTTAAAGCCATCCCATACATGGTATATTTCTGTTAGAGCGGCACTAGGTGCCCAAAACATCCACGTAGTAACTTTTACATGATAATTACTGATCCATTTGTTGGGTACTTTCTGCGTACCAGACACATATATTACCTCATTGAAATTTTAATTCTCATAATTCTGTGTTGTAGGAGTTGTTCCAGTTTCATCAATGAGAAAACAACCAGTGAGTATGATAAACAAAATTCCCAAGGACATACAGCTTACCAGTAATGAAGAAAGAGTAAGGGTAATGGCAATAGGCATAGTAGAGTATCTCAACAAATGATTTGGGGGAGGGAGCAAGAGATGAGTGAAAGATGATACAAAAATGACATCTCAATAGCAATGAGCATACTTAGCACCCAGAACTTGGTTTCTAATACCATTCTCCAATTATAGGAATTAGGATCCCTGGAGAAATAGCTGATTCCAGGCCTGAAGCAAGAAATACACAAGATGAGCCTAGAGCACATTGTAGAGCCAAAAAGTGAAAACCTACTAAAAGAAAAAAACACCACTTCATTAATGGGAGACATGTTAAAGGGATATAAAGAACTAACTGAAACAACTCCCAATATCAAAGCTGGAACATTTGAACAACAAAATAGTACTGGATTATAACTCAAACATAAAATAAATAACTTCATATTGATATAAATAAGTAATTCAATAAATAAAGAAAAGACAAATCTCTTGTGCATTGTTGTTGTTGTTATTATGTGCTGTCGAGTCGAACCCGACTCATAGGGACCCTTCCTTGGATTTCCGAGGCAGAAGACTGCCCCATCTTCCTTCCGGGGAGTGGCTGGTGTCTTGTGCATAAAAATCCTAAATAACTTATATTGATACTCTACTCTCAAGAAGAGGAAGCGTAACTCCCCTCTCCATAAGTTTGAGTTACAAATATTGACTTCCTTTCAAAGAGTATACTATGGAAAGGGATAAGAAAAGAGGAACTTTACAGTAGAGAAACCTTACAACTACCATGTTAGACAGAAGATCAAGGTCAATAGCAACAGTGAAAAATCACTGATACTATGTACCCTTGATATGATGTGATGAAAATGGCAGTTTACCTCTGTTGTGGTCCCCACCCAAAATCCATAATCCTAGTTATGATTATGAGAAAAAAAATCAAACAAATTACAATAGAGAGGCATCCTACAAAATACTTGACAAGTAGGAGCTCTAGTGGTATAGTGCCTAAGGCATTTGACTGCTAACCAGAAGGCTGGAGGTTCAAACCAACCAGCCACTCCTCGAAGGAAGACTGGGTAACCTACTTGCATAGAGATACCACCTTAGAAACTCAAGGAAGGGTGGCAGAGTCGGATTTGACTTGATGGCATTGAGTTTATTTTTTGGGTGTTTTTTTTTCTTGGTAGTCCTCCTTAAAACTCAGTGTCATCAAAAGCAATGAAAGGCTGAGAAACTGTGACAGCCAAGAGGAGCCTAAGGAGAGTTGAAAAGTAAATGTAATGTGGTATCCTAGATGGGATCTTGGAAAAGATAAAAAACACTAGGTAAAAAATAAGGAAATTTGAATAAAGTATGAACTTTAGTTAATAATTATCAATATTGGTTCATTAATTATACCAAGGAACTATATTAACAAAATGTTAATAATAAGGGAAACTGGGTGTGGAGTATATGGGAACGCCACACCATCTTCTCAACTTTTCTATAAATCTAAAACTGTTCTAAAGAAATAATATTTAAAATAATTTTAAAAAGAGAGATAATGCAAAAAGTTGATCCTGGGTTGGCTAGAACAATGATGTCTTTAAAAGAAATAAATCAAAAACCAAACCAAACTCACTGCCGTTGAGTCAATTCCGACCCACAGCAACCCTTCCTTGGGTTTCCGAGGTGGTGTCACTATGGAAGGACTGCCCAACCTTCCTTCTGCGGAGTGGTGGGTTTGAACCACCAGCCTTCTGGTTAGCAGTCAAATGCCTTAGGTACTACATCACCAGAGCTCCTCTTAAAAGAAATAAGGAAGGAAAAATTTATTTTGGTCAGGCTGGGTTTGAGGTGTCACAATATATCCAAGAGTGAAAAAGGCATATGCAACTCAGTAGAGAGGCTGGTGCTAGAAATAAAAACAGTAAAGAGTTAAAGAACAAATAAGCAGTAGGAAATGAAATTAGGTATGACCTGAGATTCAAAAAATCTGACTGTGAACAGTAAAAAAAGAGAAATGATAGGTCTTGATTTTTCAATGAAACAGAAGGTGAAGTCACAGAGAGCTAGAAAAGTTCTGGGGAAACAGCTATGGAAGACTATAAGGGAATCAGGACAAAACAATTGGAGAGAAGTTGTAATCTTGGCAGAAGTTAACACTAAGTTGTATTACACTAACTCTGCTAGCTTTTGTGCTTTTTCTCTAACAGTGTGTCGTGGCCTAGAAGTAGAAAGTAAGAAAACAGTTGTGGGTATCAAAATCAAAACGAACAAATAAAGCAATGAAGACAGTATCAAAGTGACTGGTCACAGAAGTCCACCTAGTCACAGAAGTCTACCAGGCAGTATTAAAGGCAGCCATGCTAGTAGACCTGGTGCACTAGGAGGGGTCAAGAACCAAAGAGCCTGTTGGTGTGTACTGTCAAGTTGATTCTGACTAATAGCAATCCTGTAACAGTAAAACTGCCCCACAGGGTTTCCTAGGCTGACATCTTTAAGAGAACGGATCATCAGGTCTTTTCTCCCCACAGAAGACAGACTAGATTGGCTGGTAGGTTCAAACCACCCACCTTTTGGTTAACAGCCAAGTGCTTAGCTAGAGAGCCTAAACCAAAGAAACCAAACTCACAGCCATGAAGTCAGACCCGACTCATAGCGACTCCTCCATGGGTTTCTGAGGAGGTATCACTACAGAAATAGATTACCCAACCTTCCTTCTGAGGAGTGGCTGGTAGGTTTGAACCACCAGCCTTCTGGTAGCAGTCAAATGCCTTAGGCACTACACCACCAGAGCTCCTCCAGAGAGCCTAAAAAGGGACAAAAAGCTGGTTTGGTAGGTGTGGCTGAAAAGGAGGCCAAACTAATGGGGAACACCTGAAGAAGAAGTGGTGTCATGGGTGAGATCTAGGTTGTAGTGATTCTGATGTGTAGCTATTCTGAAACAGAAATGAAAAGTCAATGGTCTCCTGCTAAGGAACTATGAGATCAAAGTATTCAAATGTGCTGGAGACACTGAGAATGACTGCAAGGTCTGGGTCCTTATAGGCAGTAGATGATGGGACCAAGATTTTAGAGAAAATATTGTAACTGCATTACAATACCTTCCACAAGGATAAGAGTGACAGTAATACATCAAAAATCTGGAAGTAGGAAGGGAAAGCAGTCTGATTCCTTCTCCTTTTCCACAAAGTCACAGGAAACAACAGACACCTCCAGGTGGGAGGGGAGGGCATGTGATACCTGGATTATCATTAAGTCATGGTAAAGAAAATGGTTATGAATAGAGAGAAGAGTACTGGGCAATAAATATTTTCAAAGCACACATTAAAAGGAGCTAGTTTAAGAAGGACATACTGGGTAGAGGGCAGGAGGAAAGAGGTTGAACCATTCTAAATGAGGTTTGGGAAAAACCTGGGTTGCATGAAGTATCACACTTCAGAAGTGGGTTGAGAGATAAGAACATGGAGCACAAAAGGCAAAAAACATAACTGGCACATTTAAAAATAGGCTGTGTATACCACAGCAAACACAGTGCCGCTTCTACAAAAGACTACTCTTACACAATGAGGGCTACAGAAACAGTAAAACCTTTCACAGCATTTCACAAATTGCTTTCATGTACATTATCTGATCCTCAGTGGGTAGATATTACTAAGTTTCTAAAAATAAGACAATTAGGATGGACAAAACCATGATGAAAACGATCTCAGTTTACAACACATCAACCTCACATACACAGCAGACACTTCTGCATCTCAGACTGCAGGACTAGAATTTCTTCTCTAGCCAGAAGGAATAGTGGATTCTATTAACTTGTCAAAAGGTTTGAGAGAAAGGCCACTAGATATCGTCCTATTTGCCTTCTCCCACCTTAGAACCCCTCAAGCTCTATTACCACCACTGGCTGGAGAAGGCAGAGAAGGGTGGTACCATCAAGGAGAAAACCCAAGCTCAAAGTTGTACTAGGTTCCTCTTCCCTTCGCACCTCTGGACTTCAGTGGCTCAACAATGAAAATGAGGCAGAGAGTGAAAAACATAATACAGCAACGAAGAGTTCTTCAGCAGAAACAGCTTCGAGAAAAAGAATTCAAATGGGAGTGAATAGGAAAGTAAGCAGGCATCGCTAAAAGATGGGGGAGGGGAAAATGGGAAGGCAGGAATTGGAGGGAACTGAGACTACAGGAGCCTCCAAGGCTGGAGAAATCAAAAGAGATACAAGGTGCTCCAGCTGCTGGAGAAAAGCTTAGAGACAGTGAGGGTCCTGGAGCAGGTACCAGCATTGAAGGACCCCAGGGTTTGGGTGACCGGAAGCTAGGACCCCAAAACACGAGACCAGAAGGGGGCGCAGGTGGCACCCCGTAGGAGAGAATGAATGGGGAAGGCGGTCCAGGGGGCGGGGCAAAGGAGGGGTCCCGGGATGGGCGGAACACAGACCCCTTTCCAAGTCCAAATCCCTGCCCCGGGAGCCCGGGGAGAAGCGGCTTCGCGCCTCCCGCACTCACCGCCGGTCTCATCAGTTACATAGGGAGTCGCCATCTTGAAAACGCAAACCACTTCCGGCGTGAGAGGGCTGGGGTCCCGCCCCCCTCCCCACCGGAAGTGGAGTCCGATCGTAGCAAGCCACCATCTTAGTCTTAAAGGGAGAGTGCACCGTTTCATGGGCCGTGGTTATAGGAGAAAAGGAGTAGAAACTGAAGTTGTTAATAAAAGCCGTGGATCTTTTTTGCCACTGATATCATTACTGAGCGCTGCTGCAAATAAAGCAGTCCTCTGGGGGCCGAGATAAAGTTCCGAGGCACGGTTCCTCTTCACACTCATCGTCCGTCCGGGACCTCGGGGAGAAGGACGCAAAGCTCACCCGCACAAGGGGCAGCAAATGGGAAAAGAAAGAGGACTCAGGCCTGCACCCGGCTCCCAGAGTGGCTTGGGAACGTGGAGCAGGACAGGCAAACTCGGAGAACGCTCTAAGGCGCACGAATGTTGGTGGGGCAAATTGAAGACCCCAACTAACCCTCTTTAAGATGACGGGGTTGAAATCTCGTGCCGATTGCCCTCGGCTGCCCAACTCAATTCCGCCCAACTCAACCCTCCTGGACACAGACCCGCGTGAGGGGCGTGGGAGTGTAGAATGCTGCCGATCGGTCACCTGTTCCCGCAGCCTCCAAGTTGCCGGTGGCTTCCATGGCCGAGCAGGCTATGGGCCGGCTTGCGCGGGCGGCCTTGGCCTGGCCCTGCCCCTGGGGCGGCTCCGAGGAACCGGGAGGCGTAGTGAGGAGGGCCCTAACTTGCCCGGCCTCCGACCCCGGGTTCCTTATAGGGCAGGTCAGAGGGCAGGGTGAAGGCTTCTGAGTGGACCCAGTTAGCACTGGCGTCACTAGGGGGGTTGGAGGAGGGTGCAGACAACAAGGAGTAACACAGTCAAAGAGGGTGACATCAAAATGACTAGAACTTTTGTGCGCTGTTAAAGCAAAATTTTTTTTCCATAAAATATCCTTATAACAAGAACATTTTTCATAAGCCAAGCTTACATGTATCAATATACAATTGATCTTGAACAACATGGGTTTGAACTGCACTTTTTTTACAATTTTTTTACAATAAATATATTGGAAAATTTTTTTGAGATCTACAACATTTTGAAAAAACTCACACGTTGCATGGCCTACAAATATCAGAAAAATTAAGAAAAAGGTATATCATGAATGCATATAATGTGGGTAGATAGGAGTCTATTTCATTGTTTACTACCATAAATATACATAAATCTAATATTAAAAATTTTAAATATATCAAAACTTACACAAACACAGACTGTATATGATGCTAGTCACAGTTGAGAGAAATGTAAACAAAGATGCAGTATTAAATCCTAACTGCAAAAAATTAGCTGTAGTACATAATGTACTACTATAATAATTTTGAAGCCATTTCTTGTTGCTATTGAGGTGATGGGGAGTATCTACTTAAAACACTGTGTGACATTAATCATCTCTGCATAAGTAGTCTTCTCTCCAGTAAACTGTATCAAAGTAAAAAATGATCTCTTGCATATTTTTCATGTTTAATGCAACCATAAACCTTGAATAACATCATGGGACCCATCTGAAATACCACTAGTGATGCTGGGAGTGCTCCCAAGAGGCTGAGAAAAGTCATGACATTACAAGAAAAAAATGAATTGCTTGATATGTACTATAGATTGAGATCTGCAGCTGCGATTGTCTACAATTTCAAGATACACAAATTCAGCATAGGGCCATTGTAAAAAAAAAAAAAAAAGAAAGAAAAGGGAATTCATGAATCTGTCACTCCAGCCACACAACTAGCCATGAAAACGTTGCACTTTTCGCAAAATACCTTTTTATCTGTATTGACAATGCAGTTTTTATGTAGGTACAAGATTTCTGTAAGAAAGGCATATCTATAGACTCTAATATGATTTGAGAATAAAACAGTCATTATATGAAAATTTAAAACTAAAGGAAGGTGAAGGATCGAAGGCTGAAGAATTTAATGCCAACAAAAGATGGTTTGATAATTTTAGAAAGAAGTTTGGCTTAAAAAAATGTCCAGGTAACAGGAGAAGCAGCTTCTGTCCACTAAGAGGTAGCAGATGAGTTCCCAGACACAATTAAGAAAATCATGGAGAAAAAAAAAAATTTGCCCAAACAGATTTTTAACACAGACAAAAGTGTCCTATTCTGGGGGGAAAAAAATGCCACAAAGAACATTTATTAGTAAAGAGAAGTAAGTACCAGGATTAAAGGCAGGAAGGGATAGGCTAACTCTACTGTTTTGTGCAAATGCAGCTGGGTTTATGATCAAAACTATTTATGTTATGGGTAAGGCTTCCAGTCAATAGTAGGCTATTAGTAGTTAAGTTTTTTTGGAGTCAAAAGTTATCGTGGATTTTCAACTGGGGAGGGGGCTGAACACACCACTAACCCAGAGTTGTTCAAGGTCAACTCCACCCCACCGACAAGGTTCAAACTCTATGCTAATTTACTTTTTGAACATTCTGATACACTCTAGTCAGAGCTGTCATTATTACCCAATTACACCAGTGAATCACAAGGTTTTGTCAGCACATGAAGTAAGTACGCACCACAAGCAAACACTGTTGTTTTCATTGCTGGCAGTGTTTTTATAGTTGCTGATTTCATTAAATTTTTTGTGTTTTAGCTACAATATAGTGGTAATTGGTATTTGTGAACATATATCAATAACTTTTTGAGAATTAAGTGGCATTTAAAAGGAAAAAAAAAAACAAAACTGCCATCTAATCGATTGGACTCATAGTGACCTCTCGTTGGGTTTCTGAGGCAGTCTCTATGGAAGTAGATTGCCCAAGCGTCCTTCCGAGGACTGGCTGGTGGGTTTGAACCGCCAACCTTCTGATTAGCAGTCAAGTGCCTTAGGCGCTACGCTATCAGAGCTCCTATTTATAAGAAAAGAAGGTAAAAAATCAAAAAAGGCTTCCACTCATTTACTGATAATGTATTGTAATTCAGAGGAGCTCTGGTGGTGTACGTATTGGCTAAGCCATTTGACTGCTAACCAGAAGGCTGGTGGTTATAATAATAACCTAAGAAATATTAATATAAGAAATATTACAATATTTAAGAATATACTCTAAGAAATATTAGATTTATAATCTAATATTACATTTAAGTAATTTATCACTATATCACATATTATTCTATGATTAAAATTGATAATAAACATTACTAAGGGTTCAGAAGGAGCTCTGGCAGTGAAGCACTTAAGACACTTGACTGCTAACCAGAAGGCTGGCAGTTCAAACCCACAGCCACTCCTAAGAAGGAAGGGTGGGCAATCTACTTCCATAGTGATACCGCCTTGGAAACCCAAGGAGAGGTTTCTATGAGTCGGGGCCGACTCAACAGCATGTAACAACTAAAACAAGGGTTCAGAACATGAAAACTATCAAACGATATCATTAATATCACACCAAAGTAAAATTTTGCTAAAGATCATTCAAATGGTTATAGCAATACATCTATGGGGAACTGTCAGAAATTCAAGTTAAATTCAGAAGAGGATGTGGAACTAGGGATATCATTGCTGTTGTCAGAAGGATCTTGGCTGAAGAGAATACCAGAAGGATATTTACCTGTGTTTTACTGACTACACAAAGGCATTCAACTGTGTGGATCATATAACAAATTATGGATAACATTGCGAAGAATGGGAATTCCAGAACACTTAATGGTGCTCATGAGGAGCCTATACACGGACCAAGAGGCAGCTGTTCAACAGAACAAGAGGATACTGCATGGCTTAAAATCAGGAAAGTTTTGCATCAGGGTTGTATCATTTCACCATACTTATTAAATTTGTATGCTGAGCAAATAATCCAAGAAGCCAGACTATATGAAGAAGAATGCACTATCAGGATTGGAGGAAGATTTATTAACAACCTGCAATATGTAGCTGATACAACCTTGATTGCTGGAAGTGAAGAGGACTGAAGTGCACTTACTGATGAAGTCCATATTACAGTCTTTAATATGGATTACACCTCAACATAAAGAAAATAAAAATCCTCACAACTGAACCAATAAACAACATCACAATGAATGAAGAAAAGATTTAAATCATCAAAGATTTAATTTTACCTGGATTCACAATCAACACCCATGGAAGTAGCAGTTAAGTAATCGGATAGATATTGCATTGCAGTGGGCAAATCTGCTGCAATAGATCTCTTTAAAGTGTTAAGGAATAAAGATGTCACTCTGAAGACTAAGATGTGCCTGATTGTGTTTTCCATTGCCTCATAGGCATGAAAAAGCTGAACAATAAATAAAGACCAAAGAAAAATTGATGCCTTTGAATTACTGTTGGTGAAAAATTTTAAATATACCATGGAGTGCCAGAAGAACAAACAAATCTATCTTGGAGAAGTACAGCAAGAATGCTTCTTAGATGAATGGCCAGATTTCGTCTCATGTACTTGGGACACGTTGTCAGGCAGGACCAGATCCTGAGAAGGATATCATGTTTGGAAAAGTAGAGGGTCAGCGAAAAAGACAAAGACCGTCAATGAGATGGATAGATACAGTGGCTACAACAATGCACTCAAAGATAACAAAGATTGGAAGATGGTATAGGACTGGGCAGGGTTTTGTTCTGCCGTACATAGGGTCGCTATGAGATGAAAACAACTCCATGACACCTTACAAGGATTCTGTATGATCTGGTCCTGGAGTAGGTCCATGTGGAGTGAATTAGTGCATTTGGTGACACCAATCCAAATGACCAATTAGTATTCAAATTAACTTCATCCTGTTCTCTGTGCTCTGGGGATCAAAAACGGACAACTGGCCGATAATCCTAACCCTAATAGGCAATCTCTTTGCAGCCTTGACCTGCCTGCCCTCTGCTTCCCCATTCTTTAGGGAAGAATAGGGGTGGTGTGGTGCCTAAGGTATTTGACTGCTAACCAGAAGGCTGGCAGTTCATTTAGGACAACTGAAGGAAGATGGGGCAATCTACTTCCGTAGTGATACTGCCTGGGAAACC